TGGTGATTTCAAATATCAACATTGGCTACCAGAAATCACTTACTCTGCCTTTAAGTCCTTACTCTGATTATTGGAAATACTCGCATTATTGGTGCACATGTAAACGTAGTCATTGTTACAAAAGATTTCAATTTCAAATAAATGCTGAACTTTCATAACTGTTTTCAATATTGATAATAATAATAAGAAATGTTTCTTGAGCAGCAAATCATTAGAATGATTTCTGAAGGCCTGGAGTGATGGGTGCTAAAATTCAGCTTTGCATCACAGGAATAAATTGCATTTTAAAATATCTATCTATCCCAAACTTTTGAATGGTAGTGTTTATATATAATAAATATAATTAAATATTTGCGATAGCTGTTATTCTGCCATTTTAATTTGTTTAAAAAAAAAGTGCTTAATTCTTCCAAAAAACTTTCCGTATTTGTGAATGTGTGTGTGTGTGTGTGTGTGTATCACTGGTCACATACCGCACATTCCCACCATGAGCTCATTGCTCACACTTTACTCTAGAGTCAGCTTTCCAATATATGCCAGTACTGTGTGTGACATTCCTGAAATTCTTGTGTTAAGCAAACGTAATTAATCGCTCCATTTGACTTGGTCACTGAAGTAATCAAGACCCCCTACACTTCAAAAAAACCCTCACCTAAAACCCATGTGTGTGTATGTGGCTTTGTCCTGCTATTGATTACACAGGAAATAGCTGAAGTGATTTGGATAGACCCTTCAGTGATAAGTAAGCAGATCAGGTCATTAACAGTGAGAGAGATAAGATAAGAGACAGATTAATGGAGATGTCCTGTCTGCTGTGATCCTGAACTTAAGGGTCTCTTTCTCTCTGTCTGTCTCCAGGAGCTCATAGAGGTGGACAGCGAGGTGGTGTTTGAACTGGCCTCTTATATCTTACAGGTAAGATCATGTGGGGCTGTTCATCATTTTGTGCACCTTCATAAACCTTGCAATGAACTTTCATAAAGTTCATATATCTCAAATACATGTGTGAGTCACATTTATGTCACTACAGTATTTCAGCCGGGCGGGGTGCTTTATTTTAAATCTAAAACAGGATGTTTCCTTTGTACTGTAAGTTATCCATACAAGGGAAATACTTTGGAGAAATATGGGTTTCCTTTATGACTCTGTGTATGTGTGATCCAGGTGTAGTATCAGGTATGTTATGTGTGTTTGACCTTTTGGAGGATTCAGTCCAGATGGCTGCGACTACACCCCTACTGAGACACACATGCACCGTTCTGTGTATCAGAGGATACGATCTTTCCAAGCTGTCTCGTCTACCATCAAACACTCATTATTGATACTAAAATATGTCTTTTTTTCTCCCACAGGAAGCTAAAGGAGACTTCACGAGGTAAGAGGATGGTTTGAATTAATGAATCACCTTCCAGTGACCTCTTTTACACTCACGTGCTATCAAAGTCTCTATCAGTGTGTCATTGCAGAGTGAAAGCAGATCCAATTTGTGGCGTATATCAAACTCTCCTTCCCACATAAGCACATGCCCACGATTCAAAAGAGAGATGGAGAGAGAGAGAAAGAGAGAGATATGGGGGTGTGAACCCTGGGAACGGAGACAGAGGGGAGGAAATGGAATGCAGAGGATAAACAGTGTTAAATTACACACACTAACCTCTGGCTCTCTCCATCTCACACACACACACACACACTTACACAAACACTTTCTACACATAGTATCTCGGCTACAAATCTGTCACATGTGCATCCTTCCAGCTTTATTCTGTCACTGTTTTCTTTGACTCAATCTCCTCTACCTCTTACACTTCCTCTCAACCTCTCCATCATTCTGTGTTCAGAATGGCCACACTGCCATACTACCCATACTACGCATGTAGTATGCATTATATATAGTGTGCACATTTTGTATGCGTGGAATGCCCTGATAACCCTGATTGTCATTTCCAAGATGAAGACTGGTCATGTGAAAATTATTATCATTTGCACAATTATTATTATAATAATAATAATAAAAATATTTTGCATTCTGTGTCTTCTGTCTCTTTTCTGTGATTCTGATTGACTGATTTTTCGCTCTGTTAGGTGCTTCATTTTCTGAGCATTTTGTGTTATTTTTACAGTAATGATGCTACTAGGGCTGATCTGAAGAAACTGCCAGCACTGCCTACACAAGCACTGAAGGAGCACCCTTCACTCGCATACTGGTGAGACACACACATACACACAGCTGTCAGCTGATAATGGAGAGGTATTAACGAGATGTATCTGCTCTGTGTTCTCTGAGCACCATGGGAAAGGATTCCCCAGAATAATTCTCTTACCTAATTTTCCTCGAATTCTATTTGATGCGAATGAAGTATTTCACAGATGCTACCGTTCTGAGACACACTCACTCACACATTCATATTGAGCAGGCCGGTGTACTTCCTGTTCTAAGAATGAACTTATCTCCTTCATGGTGTTGTATTTTATTGGCTGTGTCTCTGTACATCTGTAAGCTTTCACTCTTGTCTGTTTGGTGTTCCTGTGGAATTGAAATAAGTTGACAGCCACGTTCTCATGAGCATTGTCATCTGTTGCCGCTAATCTGTGTGTGTGTATGTTGTGTTGTAGTGAGGACCGGGTCATTGAGCACTATAAGAAGCTAAATGGACAGTCCAGAGGCCAGGCTATCGTCAAGTAAGTAAAGAATATTGTCATGACCAAAACGTTCTTCTAAGTTAGATGAACAGAAAGTGTCCAAATGCATTTTATCTTAAAGCAATAGTTCACCCAAAAATTAAACTTGTCATCATTTGGTCACCCTCATATCATTCCAAAAACAACTTTTGTGGAACACAAAAGAAAATGTCAGATATTTTTGCCGGTTTTGTCCATATTATGAATCAGTGGAGTCATTGGCGACACAAACCTAAAAAATTATCACATATGGTCACATGGGTGTGTGAGAACCAATGAGATTTGATGCTTTACACTCTGTTGACTTTTATTTTGTCTTTTTTTGTGTTCCACAGAATGCAAACTGTGCCTAAAGTATCCAGATACTTTTTGTTTGCTTGTTTTTGCAAGTCTCAGTGACCACCTCCGAGATCCACTCCCATGTGTTCACTGCTATTGTAAATTGTCTGCATATGTAACATTCATAACATACTGTCATGGATTTCTTATTTCTTCTCTCTCACAGTTATATGAGTATAGTGGAGTCGTTACCCACATATGGAGTGCATTATTACGCTGTTAAGGTAGGTCAGTGTGCTCTGAGGGAAAATTTATAATCACAGCCGTCAGTCCACACACACACATTCTCACGACCTATAGTATCGCTCTTGACTTAAGTGTTAAAGGATGCTTAAGACTCAGTGTGTTTAAGATAATCGTGCTGTCATCAACCATGAGCTGACACTTCTTTTCTTATCGCCATGTGTGTGTGTTCGCATTAATGCTCTCTTTTTCTCACTCTTTCTCTCTCTCAGGATAAGCAGAGTATCCCGTGGTGGCTGGGTTTGAGTTATAAAGGCATTTTTCAATATGACTACCAGGACAAAGTCAAACCAAGAAAGGTAAGACTGTCTATCCTCTGTGGACTTTAGGGCTGTCAAAATGAATGAAAAACTAAATTTGAATTTCCCACTTAAATATTATAAAAATTTTAATTATATTCAAATTTAAAAGGCATAATTTCAGTTAGGGGGAAAAAAAGCTTTTGGCTTCTCTCCTGAGGCCACAAGAGGGCGCATCGAGCAAAATTTTATGCACGTTTCTTTAAAGCGTAATAAAATAACACGACTATCTTTGAAAAAAAGTGCATAATGTTTAAAATAATGTTTATAAACCATATATAATTAATAAAGTTGCTTAAACAATTAGAAGAAGAAAAAACAGCACCATGCATGTATGTATAGTAAACCGAAAACCAATCACAAAGAGTTGGCTACTTTCTTCATTTAAAAACATGAGATACAGTGGGATGGAGGAAAACCGCCATAAAGTCTTGAGACATGTTTTTTAAAAGTTGAACTTACATTAATTTTAAACAAACTCTTTCTAAACATGCCACTCTCTTGTGCGAGACACGAGTGCAATGCTGATAGATGCCCCGCTAGAAAATGTGATAAATATGCGTTCTGTGTGAACGGCTTGGTTTCAGTTTTGACGTAAACATATTCGCCACACTGATGCTCTCATTTTCCGCTATATATTGAATGAACAACGTAGCAGCGCCGCATCTAGTGGGTTCAACTGGATAGGCTAACAAAAGCATTAAAATGCAATGACACTTACATTGTCTTCGCATTTCGTGCGCCACTGATAAGGCTGTCTGACGGCAGACGCAGATCTAAAAAATGTGGATTTTTTTTTTTTTCGACGAATATTCGAAATTCAAATTTTTTTTTTGACAGCCCTAGTGGACTTACTATAGTTTGACTTCTGTCTGTCCTCCCTTCACATCTCTTCATCTTGGTCATCCTGTAATAGTTTTACCTCCCTGATGGTAATAGTAGTGCTTGGCATAATTCGTCCCTCACCATTTGTGCTACAGACATGAACAAGACCTTAAATTACGACACTTGTTGAGGAGAGGTGGGCCATTACTTTTCTAAGCGGTCAGACTTACTTGTCAGGCGATAAAATGGACAAATTAGTCTTTTTTGACTTAGGCAACCATCCAGAACCATAGTCACTACTTAAAATGTAGCTTATGACAGTGCTCTTTGTTTCTTCATGAGGGAGGGAAAAAAATCCCACTTCTCCTTTAAAACTCTCTGCTTTGTAGAAAATCCAGTGGATGTAAGCAGTTTCCCTTGCGCTGTGTTTTGAAACTTAGCATGAGTTTCTTCAGTTGTGTGTTTTTGCATGTGTATGAATATGTGTTCATCACCTGGTCACCTTTGCTTAACCTCATGACGTCAGCCAAAATAAGTCTGACCGTCTGACACTTGGGTGTGGTGACCTCAGATATGTCATGACCTCTGGCGGTCTGACCCCATAGCGTTTTTTGTAACTTTAGACAGAGACTCTCAAACTTCCGGACAGACGATCAGTGACACCAGGTAACTGAAATGCTACAAATCTGTCTCAGTCAGAAGAAACGCTTTCTGTCGGAATGACTTTACTTCAGGTGTGTGTTCGCTGGCTTTGGTTTTCCATTCTCACAGCACACACAAGTGTTTAAGTTCTCTCCAAAGGACAGGCAAAAACTTCAGCCTGTGGTGAGGAACCGAAAAACCTTTCCCAAAACCGCAAGCTAAAAATAGCGTTCAAAGCAGAAAGTCCAGCCAAGCGAAAAGCCAAACTCAGGCCTATTTACAGAGAAGGATCTGTTACAGAAAACGAAAGTTGAAAAGATACAACACAGCAGAGGGCAGCTCAGAATGGAGGGAAGAGAAACCAGCAAGAAGAACGGATGCGTGTCCAAAAATGCCACAAATGCAAACTAAACAAAATTATAGTTCTACTGCCAAATCCAACTAAACCTGGATGACAATTTAAAGGGATAGTTCAACCAAAAATGAACGTCATCATTTACTCACCCTGATGATCCAAACCTGTAATAATTATTTTTTGTTTTACTGTAGAGCACAAAATAATATAGTTTAAATAATGTTTAAAGTGTTTTTGTTGATACAGTGCAAGTCACAACAACATTGGACCCTATTGACTTTCATTGTATTGGGGAAAAAAAACTAACAATGAGACATTTTTTTCAAAATATCTTCTTTTATGTTCCATAGAAGAAAGTCAGTCCTACAGCTTTGAAATGACATGAGAGTGAGTAAATGATGAATCACAGAGAACAATCAGACATCTAGCCCTGTGGTCAAATGCCAGGCTGCAACTTTCCACTGATCTGCATTTCAGATGGGTCATTGCCACTAATGTTCTCATTACACAGTTTGCCTCCTTCACATATGCACGTTTTGATGATAAGCTCACATGCGCTAATGGTTTGTGGCTGTTCTCCATCTGTAGGCAGTGTATGTGAGAGACTGCGGGGATATACTGTTAAATATGCCACACACTAAAAGTTGCAGACTTGGTGAGTTAGTGGTTTGGTTTATTTAATACGTTTCAAACTAATTTAAACCCTCTCCTAATGAGAAACCGCAGAGCATCTGTGCCAAAGTGTGTGTGTAAAGTTTCACGGAGGTGTGACCGAGTACATTTGTGGTTTCATCTTGAATTGGGGTGCGTGTGTTTCTCAAGAGCTATTGTCCTCTACCTAAACTCCCTCCAGCAGCCTCGCTGACTCCAAAACCCGCAACAGGAAACCCAGCAGCAGACACCTGCAGGATTACTGTCACCCTGACAACACAAAACATACTGGAAACATTAGTGTGTCTGACAAATCCGGGACCACTCCCCAAAAACTGGCATGTGTGCGGCTGTTTCTGATTGGTTTGGATCAGCTCATTAGCTCCAATAACTGAAAGATTCTTGCCTTGTAAAACAAATGAACAGCATAGCAAATCAAAGAAGTGTATAGCTGCCCTTCTAGCCAGATGTGACGTTGTACTTATGAATCATGGGATTGCAACCCTTTAGTCACCGGTGATTGTTTTCATCCTATCTGCTGCTAGTGACCTTTGACCTTTCCAATGCCCTGTCTTTTCTCATAAGCGCTCGTTATAGCTCCGGCTAAGTAAATACCATGCCACACACACACAGTCTTCCTGTAGTCTCTGTGTGTCTTTGTGAGAGAGAGTGGTGGGGGCTTGTTCTTTATTATTCTATGTACAGACAGACTGCAGGGTGGGCGATGTGCGTTATAATAAAAGTAACTGCAGTGAATGTGAGTCATAGTGATGAAACACCTATGACATTTACAATGAGACTCATTAGAATCTAAACTCCCTTATATTGGAACTTTCTGGATAAGTGTTTTGGTTTTTAGTGATCCTCAACTCTGTGCTTGAACTCTTGATAGGATTATATTTCAATAAGTGGTTAGCTTTTGCATTGTTTTCAGAATGCATTGAATTATTTATTAAATTTTTGCTGAATAGAAAGTTCAAAAGAACAGCCTTTATTTGAAATAGAAATATTTTCTAAAATTAGAAATGTCTTTACTGCCACTTCAATCAATTTAATGCATCCTTACTAAATAACAGTATTGATTTCTTAAAAATAAAAATAAAAGAGTCATGCTCCAAACTTTGGAACGGTAGTGTAAATCTATTTTAATGAAAAGTATTAAGGAAAATGGTACCATCTGATTAAGAATAGACTATTTCACTTAGGATTTGTGTGTGTGTTGTTTGCATGCTTTTGTTTCTGAGTTTTTCGTTTAACTGCATGCTAACATCAGACTTTACTGGAATCAACTGCATCAGAACTGAGGTGGGGTTTTCAGATACAGGCATAGCCAATCTCTGGACCCCATCACCATGGCTGTGAGCCTTCATTTAAAATCCTTTGAAGTCCAGAACAAGATTTAACCCTGTTTCCAGAGATCTAAATAACCAAACAACATGAGGACTGGAACACGGTTCAGCGGTCAGTGAAATATGTGCTGGAACTAACCAGGATTCAGCACATCACTGGGCACATGGGCCCCCTTTAAAATGTCTTTTCTCTCTTACAGCCTCTCGTGACTGAATGCCTCAAAATCACACACACTTTCAGCTGAGATCGTCTCAATCCAGAACAATAGCTGAAGTCCCCAGTTCCACCTCACTGTGCCCAAAATACTCTGGTGTGGTTAATGTTCCATACCTCGTTGGCTATTATAACTGCACCACGCTACAGAGTGTTTAGATGTCATGGAACATTGTAGCCTCCCTCACTTTCTTTTTCCTCTCCCTCCCGCTCTCTTAAGGAGAGAAAGATTTGTATCTCCATAATGAAAGTTGTTTTGAAAGTGTTGAGGGTCAAGTTTGTTCTTGGTCCCATGAGACCATCAAAGCATCTCATAAACACCAAGAAACATTCACTTCATCAACATCTCTGTGTTGTTCAGTTGCACTGTGTCTATGATATTTTGGGATGGAAATCAGAAGAAATGTAAATATTCTGGTTTAATGTTCCTCTGTTTTATCTTAATTAGTTCTTTTAATAGTACAGAACTTTGGTATACTCTGCGGTTTTTGAAGTGCTTTACAAATAAATTTGAATTGAATTAACAATTTGTTTAGTACTTTTGAAGAACATTATACCAAACAAAACAATCCTATCTTTGGTAATATATTTTATGTTATTTATTAGTTTTATTACTGTATTACTTTTATTTTAATTACTATAAAACATGATACTTATTGTTAGTATGTATCAGTGTTATTTTAGTATTATTTATATACTATTATGGTATTTATTAATATTTTGTTTTTCATTTTAGTTTACATTTTAGCAATTTTGTGTTCTTTTGTTATTTGTATTAGTTTTGTTTTGTTTTATTACTGACTTTTATTTTAATTACTATAAAACATGATACTTATTGTTAGTATGTATCAGTGTTATTTTAGTATTATTTATATACTATTATGGTATTTATTAATATTTTGTTTTTCATTTTAGTTTACATTTTAGCAAGCAA